CTATGGTCCCTGCTTTAGAGAATTTTGTGAAATGAGTCCTATGGCCTAAATTCACGTTTCAATTAAAGATTACAGCAAGCTCTGTTTGGAAAATTTCACAACTGGCCTTGGATCCATCTGGCTTTTCCTCCACCGGCGGGGGTGGGGGGGGTACATGTGGGACGATGATAGATGAGGGCCCCGTGAGAAAAGGACAATTTCCTTCCTCCCTGATCTTTTTAGTCATCTCTCTCCCACCTCAGTCCAATGCAAGGCTGTCTGGTAGGGTGGGCCCCAGACTCATCTGGGAGTTTGGCTGGGGCTGGGAGAGTGTCACCCAGCTTCTGGGCACATTTGAGAGCAGTTTTGTGGCAGGGCCTGGTGATCTCCATGATAAATGAGTCCCTGAAGGAATCTTAACATCATGAAGTTAAGTGTTTGTGGTTAGCCTTGAGAGAAGGGAGGGAGGAGAGGTGGCAGTTGGGGAGAGATCACCGGCCTCCCTTCCTCCTTCCTGGCTCCTTCTCTTCTCCAACCAACACTTGCTGCGCTCCTACTGTGTGCAGGGCCTTGTGCTCAGAGACTGCACGGATGACCAACTAACGGGAAGACCAACCTAGTGTATTCAGTACTGAACAGTCCCAGGAGGATGTGGGGACAAACACAACTCCAATCTGACCTGGTGGGAAGGGGCAAGACTTTCCATGGGAAGGTTTGCAGGACAAGCCCACCAGGTAGAAGGTGGCGCTCCTGGCAGAGGGAAGAGCAGCAACAAATGTCTAGAGGAATCAAAGGGACGCCCAGGAAAGCTTTTGGGCTGGAGCACAGGGGTAGAGGGCAGTGGGTCATGGAGAGGGACAACCAGAGGGGTGAGCACAAGATAGAGTCCGAATGACCTTGGGGCTCAGTGGGGGAGCTCAGTCTTTATTCTGAGGCCCCAGGGCATCAGGGCAGGCTCTTCTCAGGGAGGATAACTGGGGCTGAAAGGAGGAGCGGATCCAAGGGGCAGGGACCAGGAGCAGGGGTGTGCGTGGGAGGGTCCCTGATTGCTCAATGATGCTTTCATCCACTCCCTCAAGGAGCATCCCATGAAGGCCTGCTCACCCCTCTCCACACAGCAGGCTGGGGGGCCCTTGCACAGTGCTCAAGCTCAGCAAAAAATGTATGGAAAGAGCCTGGTACGCTTGACAAAGCCTCCTTTGTGACCAGCCCTGGGCCGGGGTGGCACGGTACTCTGCTGCCTTCTAGTGAAGCCTGTAGGTACAGCTCTGCAGGGTAACGCCAGCTTCTAAACTGCTCCAAGTTTCCCCAAATGCCTCCCCTCTGCCCTTCCCTCAACCATGGGGATGGCTATTCTTGATTTAAAAGTGCAGTTTGGGAATAGAGGACAGGCTCAGAACATCCAATGATGTGCACCTTCTGACCCAGGTTCGGGGTCTGGTGCAAAAGTCCCTACAAACAGCTCATCACACCCCAGCGTGCACACATCCCCTGTCTCCACACTTGTCTCAAAATCCCTTCTGTGAGGCTCATCTCAGTCCAGTGACAGCAAACTGATTAAGCCAATGTACACTAAGTGTGAATGGCTGACAGCCCTTAACCCCTTTAAGTGCCTTTAAAGGAGCAACTGTTCACTTAAACTGAAAAGGCAGCCAGCCACAGCAGATCGCAACAGGCTCAGAGCTCCGGGTTTAAACCTCAGCTCTGCCATTTACAGCTGCTTTCTGCCTACCTCTGTTTTCGTGTGGGTTTGTTTTTTTTTTTGTTTTTTATCTGAAAAACAGGAATAGTCATTCTTGTTCTAGGATTAAAAAAATATACTGAAAAATTAAGGAACCTCAGAGTTGAAAGGAATCTTGAAGATCATCTAGGGATTTTTATTTTGACTTTTAGATAAATCTTTATAATTTATGAGTGACTTTCAAATAAAGATACTCTTCGAATTATGATAGGTTTATGGCCCAATAAGCCCATAGTAAGTTAAAAACATATTCAGTCTAAAATTCCTTTAACACTATATTGTAAAGTATCGGTTGTTTGCCCTTGTGATCATGTGGCTGACTGGCTGCCCAAAACCAACACCATGAGAAAGTATCCTAATGTGTATCCCTAGTCTGGGAAAAGATCAAAATGCAAAATTCAAAGTACGGTTTCTACTAAATGCTTATTGCTTTTGCACTATTGTAAAGTCAAAAAATCCTAAGTTGAACCATTGTAAGTCAGGGACCGTCTGTCTGTACACTGTCTTGTCCAAATCTCAGAACAACTATGTAAAATCATGAATCTCTTTTTACAGGAAGGAAACAGTTTAAGAAAGGGGAAATGACTTGCCTGGGCTCTGGTATGTTACTGGCAGAGCTAGGGACAAATGGCTCTTTGCTCTACCTAACTCTTCCTGCTAGAAGGCCCCAAAACCCTCACCTGCCACCCTGCCCTCCCTCCCCCTACAGGCCTCTGAACTCCTCCAAAGCCCCTGCACAGTGGGCTGTACTTACCTGACTCCCTAGCAAGACTATGGGATTCCTCGGTCAGGTGCCCTGCACAGAGACCAGCACTGAATGGGTGAGGGCCCTTCCCCAGCACATTCACAGACTCTGCCACTTTCATAAGCCAGACCAGGAGAGAATTGAACAACAGTCCTGGCCTTGGATCAGCCTTGGAACTGGAGAAGCAGGTGGCCCAATGTTTAACCAGATGCTTTGGAGCCTTCTGTCAACTCAGTTGGAGAACTCAATCCAGCCAGGTCTTCCTACAGCTAAGACCTGGGCCCTCCCGCCCTCTCTGCCTCTCCCCTCCTGGGCCCGGGGACTTGAAGAAGCTGGAGCTTCTGGGGGGGGTGGGGGTGGAGGGACACACTGCAAAACTGGAGGAGTATGTGGTTAGAGTAAGAAGAGCCTGGTCCCCGCTCTGCCCGGGCTTGCTTGCGGTGTGGCCTTCCCAGCCCTGCCTCAGTATCCCCATCTGTGCAGAGGAGGCTGTTCTGGGTAGGCCCTCCTGATGGGCCTGGGCAAGAGCAGAGGATCCTCGGACTCCAGAACCCCCTAGCTTGCGAGAGACTTTCTCCACCACAGAGGTGAGGCTGGGTAAATCTTTAACTTGCGGGCCCAGGGCAGGCCCCAGCCTTTCCGGATGGATGACTGCCTGGGAGGGGGTGCGGGGGTGGGGGGTGTAAGGTGTGTACAGCCAGTCCCAGTGTGGTGGAGAAGGGAGGGTAGTGGGGAGGGAAAGGGGCGAGACTGAGCAGCGCTAACTCCGTGAGCAAAACAGAACATGGAAGAACGCGGGTCCCCCGATGGGTAAGCACAGGTTCCGGGAGGTCCGAGGCGCCCCTGGGCACAGGGAGAGTTTAACCCGCCTCGCTGCCGCAGGGACCCCGCGCGGAGCCTGGAGCAGGGGCTCGAGGGGCCGGAAACGCCCATCCAGGTGGTGCTCAGGTGGGTATAGGTTGGGTAGGATGTGCCCGAGGGAGGAAGGGGCCGATGGAGACGTGGGGATGGCCCATCCACCCTCCCGTCGGACCCCAGGGTGCGTCCCATGAGCCCAGCCGAGCTGCGCCGAGGGGAACAGAGCGCGCTGCACTGCTCAGGGACCAGGACTCTGCAGGTGAAGAACCCTCCCGCCCCCCACCACCTAAAAAACCCGACGGGCCGACGCCTCACCCCTTCCCCCAGG